TATCTATTATATAGACTAAACATACCGTACGGAGGGCGCCAAGTTTTCTTTGGCGTCCGCTACCCGCCAGAAAATCCGTTCGCAGCACGCATGAGACTTCGAGAAACACGACTGATCCGTCGGAACAGACGACTTTTTTTTTTGTACCACCAAATTATTAAAAATCATGGGAATTTACTTTTTGCCATGCAGTACTGTGGGTATTGTCTTGAGAATAATCAAGAAGCTGGAGGGTTGTTTTACTGCCTGAATTATTTACATGTATTGGTTAAAATAAATCACTATAAAAACCCAAAAGAACAGCTATCACACTTAATTATATATTTTAAAGTTTCCGATGTTCTGTCGTCTGCTTCACTTGCATGTGGTCATGAATCCTACAAATTAATCCTGTCTTTAATAATAGACATAATTTCCTGCGCCTCCAGTACCTAATTTTTGGCAGATACTCACTCTCTAATTTACAAAGAGTGAACATTCTCTCCATTCGAGTGAAGATTCATTCCGACAGTCGGAAACTCAGTAGGGACTAGAGACGTTCCAGATTAAAATTTCTTCAATCGGCGATCGTTTATATATATCGTTTATATCCCAATCGTTGATCGTTTTACTACCGCGTACGGACTCCAGATGTGCTTGCTCGACTCGCCAACATCATGACAAACAAACCGACCCGACCTGAAACCGACGTCGGGTCGGGTCTAATCGGTTTGTCCTACATGCCATTGGGGTGGGATAGGTTTCGGTTTTGCGTTCGTGAATTTCTGGTTAGGTCGGGTCGGGTCGGGTCGGTTAAGCCATTTTGGAAAAAAACGAAATAAACGAAATAAACCGAAAACCAGAAACAGTTCGGAAATTCACACGGAGTCACTGTGCCCCGGCCGGGTACGACCAAATGTGGTTTGCTGTCTTATCACGCATGGCCTATAACATCTAGGCCCACAATATACATTATTAGACTGAGAGCTGGATAGGGTTTAATCAAAATTTTGGGAACAAATCACCTGATTGTCTTAAAGCATAGTTTCATCGACCCTGATCACAGAATAGCCATTCTTAAGTTTCGCTAGATCAGACAAAGGCCCAGTTGGCGCCATGACAAATGTGGTCAATTTTGCATTTAATCAAAATTTTGAGAACAAGAACAAAACCAGTATCATTTGATGGCTTGGAACTTGCAGATTATGGAAATATAACTTAAGAGCGATTTTAGATCAGACTAATTAACTTAAGAGCGGCCCGAAAAGCGCAGAGGGTGGGCGTGGTTCGCTGATACTGTTACGCAACGATAGGAAAGAAGATGAAAGCAGTTTGTATTGATGCCTTGGCACTTGTGGAACATGACAATATTACGTAAGAGGGCTTTTAGGTCAGACTAATTACCTTAAGACCGGCAGCAAAAGCCAGAAAGGGGCGCATGAGAGTGCCGACTTTAAATAATCATGACAAGCAAATATTTCAAAAGTTGAATTGAAACTACACAGATGTACGACAGATATTTGGGAGTCCTTTCATAACAGATATCAACGTTTACTTAAAATAATGGATAATTATGCGAAAGCACAGGTAGCTGTAGCTGGCGAATTAAATTTTTTTTTATTAAAGGCCTAGTACATTGTACGTACATGTATCAGTTTTCGGGTTTGAAGCTAGTTATAGAATTGAATCTTAAGGGGCAGTGGGTGGGCTGACAGGGCTGTTAAGGTCAAATATCGTAACCAGTTGGGCACTTTGAGCCTATAAAAGCATAAAACTTCTTACGTTGGTTCTTCATACAGTGAATATAATGATCGGATGTGAGAAAATTTCACATTTGCCCTCTGGTGAAGGGTCTATTAACTGTGCATACCCTGTTTATTGATATTTTAAAGATGTATTATTCTAACCCTACTTTTCCACGACCCAAATCTAAACTCTCGATGTGAGTTCTTGCCATTACATAAGTTTCATTTGTAGGGAAAGTTCATATCTGACCCATGGTGAAGTTTTAAAGGTCAGCGAGCTTATGTATACCATTTTCCACTATTACTTTAAAATGCCAACTGTTCATGTCCCAAGTCTAAATAATGAATAGAAATTTTTTTTACTCTACTGTTCTACACATGATGTCATGAATTCAGATCCAGAGATGATTTTGTTTCTTCAGAGCATCTGATCCCCTGTTTTCATGCCCATGCAGGCGCAACAAAATAGAATTTTAAGAGGCAAGCCGGACAAACATTAAAACACTAGAAAAAGACAAAAAGAGGTCAGAGGTCACCCCATTGTCTTTTGGGTCTGAATTTATAACATGAGTATAGAATAATAGTTGCAATGCCGTTCTTGTTCACTTTATAGTTGTGGCTTGGTTCACGAAAAATGTTGCGTTTTCAAGAGTAAAAAATATATTCGCGAGAAGTTAACCAAGGTATACAAAGTAATTGACCTGTCCCAGCTGAAGGCAACGGAGGTCTGATATGCTCTTCCCACATCGGTCATTATTTAAATGGACACCAGAATATGTGTAGTACATCTGTGAAGTTTCAATTGAACCTGTTAAAACGTTTTGTTATAGTGGTCAGTTAAAGTCGGCACTCTCATATGCATGCGCCCTCTGATGGACATTATACATGCTCAATGAAATGGACAAGTTAGCATTTAAGCTTACACCTGTTTTGGTATTTGGACATTTTGTGACGAAGGTATGCCCTACTGCCATAAACATGGTGTCAAAATAACTGCAAGACATCAGAACAACTATCAGAGAAACTTGGTAGAATTGAAAAATTGCATTGCGACGATAGGAGCTAAAATGTACATGGAGGGGGTTGCGGCCCCGCCCCCTCCGTGCTCTTTGCACCGCTTTTAAGTTAATTAGTCTGACCAAAAATCACTCTTAAGTTATATTTTCATGTTCCTCATGTGCCAAGGCATCAATAAAAATTGTTTCATTTTCCCATTTTTAATTTGAAGTACATTTGCACAGCTTCTATTCGATCTGTTAGTCGGCACTCAGATGCACGCTTTTATGTGCATGCACGTTTTAATAGGAAATGTTAACATTTGGACATTTGGACACAATCACGTGATTTGTTCTCAAAATTTTGATTAAACCCTATCCAGCTCTCAGTCTATATGGTTTAATTACTCGGAGACGACGATTTTCATGCGAAACGGGCAAGTTCAGGCACAAAAAGCAGACACAGTTGCCCTTGAATCCAGATATTTGGTTTTGGTTCAGGTTCAGATTGGGTTTATTCTATAATGTTTCGGGTCGGTTTGGCCTGGTCACAGCTGTGCCTAATGGGCTTTCCGCGGGGTTCGCAAGCAAGTAGGCATGCCGCACCGACGCGAGCCCGCCTGTATTCCAGGGGCGGGGATATTTTTCATTATGCGTATTGTTAGATGACGCCGTTTGTTTTCATTCTATGTATTCAATAGTACGTGGCGCCATCCGGGTTTTCTCCCTAAAGTCTACTTCAGTTGGTACTCTCCTGCAATTAGCCTTTCCATAACGGTACTTTAGTGATTCGGATTAGTTTTTAAAGGGTAAGAAAATCCATGGGCGTCGCCAGGATTTTTTCCGGGGGGGGGGGCAAAGCAAATTTTCCCCCGAAATTCCTTAACTTTTTCATTATATTCTCGATTTATAATTTTGCCGAGCGTGAGCAGGGAAGCATTTGCCCTACCCCCCCCCAAGTGACAAATTAACAGCAATGTGGTTTCGCACCTCTTGTCCCCCCTTTTTTTCTTTTTCCTTTTTGTTTTCGTTTTTCTGGGGGGGGGGGGGGGGGGGGGGGCAAGCGCCGCCCCTTGCTATCCCCTTGCGACGCCCATAAAATCGTTACTTTCGTTATGATTGAGACACTGATAAATATCACAATCAGAGGTTAAGTTTTGGAAGTGTTTTCGCATCATATCAGTGTCTTGCCGAAATGTTCAGTCCTATCGCCCTTTTTTTCTGTCGAATGATTGTTATAACTTGATAAATAAATATATATAAATAAATATATCTTAAGTTATATTTTCATGTTCCTCATGTTATAACTTGAATATAAAAAGTGATCGAAAAGACGTCTTCCGGTGAGCTATTTTTTTTTTTATGCAAAACGAACTTCGCTCGTACCTCCCGCCCTGCAAACAGGGAGCTGGATGGAAAGGGCAGATGAGCTTCACAAAATCTTGTGAAGCAAGTGGTCATAGCATTCTGATTAATTTATCATGACCTATGTATGAGCTCCGTGCGCTACCAAAAGAGGGCGTCCTTTTACCTAGCAACGACGTCCCATGGGCGGGACATTTCGCTGGTTGACGCGCACCGTTCCTTGTGTGTGACGCACGTACACCAGGGGATTTGTACTATTTACACGCAGTGGCCGCGCTTCGCGGCAAATGAATTGCAGTCAGGCAAGATGGCGTCGGTCGGTCACCTCCAACTGTACTTCCTTTGCCGGTGAGGGGGGGGGGGAGGGCTTGTGAACAGAGCGGATAAAGCATCTGGCTGCAGCTGTAGACCGCGGTTAGCCAATGCGCGCAAATACTATCCGAAAAGTTTGCCATAGAAATGCATACACACACCATACTTGATGTGATTTCTTTTTCATTGCAGACCATGTGGAACATTTTTAGCTTCTTCGTGAATTCGAAACGGAGCCTTTGCAACTGACGGGAGTTGAAAATTTACAAAAAAGATAAGTTTTACAGATTTTCCTACATTATTATGCTTTTCAACAAAAAAAGGGCGCCGCATTTATGGATGGGAATAAAAGAGTGATGAATGACACAGTCTTCGGCCGTTTCAAACCTTGCAGGGTCGTGGTCGTGATGACATGCAGGTCACAGGTCACGCAAAATCTATCCAATCAGAGCTCGTCAGCCCTTCCCAGTATCCTGTTTGCAGGGCGGGGGTACGAGTGGAAAAAAACGAACCTGTATACAATTCGGCCACTAGAGGGCGTTTTATACGAGCTAAAAGCACGGACATCATTGACATATGATAATTATATGATGGACATGCGGAAAACAACATGGCGCCCTGAAAACAGCTGTGAGTCAGTGTATAGGAAGCTATTGAATGTCCGTCCTCGGGTAGTGTTTTAGCAGCATAGAGCAGACGCATACAAGAACTTCACCGAACACCACACCATGTCTAAAGTCTCAGAGAAGTTCGAATTCACACAAGACCCTCAGGTAAGGCGCAACTCGCACAAAAAATGAAAATATATATAACGTTTAATATTTGATCCAGGCTCGGATTAAGTGTTTTGTATATGCCTATAGGCGCCAGTGTTCCGTACGCCGTACTCCGCCCGACACGAACGCTTAACTAAAGTACAAATCACTGTACAAATCAAGGCGGGTCAAACTGGTGTAGGTCCTAGCTCTAAAAGCCTGTTGGCACCAAGGGCGTCAATCGCTTCTCAAAAGTGGGGTTGGTACATGAACTAATCAGATCTAATGCGAGTGCGAAGCCCAAGTAGGGTTCGAGGCCCCATGATACAGAACAATACTTTAAACCCTGTTCAGACATTGCAAGCCAGGCTAGCTAGACGCGTTCAAATTTAAACAAAATGAAATTAATTCAATTTTTATAAAAACAATTTTTATGATTTTTGTTTGTTTAAGGAAATTTTGTAATGTGAGTATAAGTGTTTGTTATCTATTTCGTTTAGGTGATTTAGCAGATTTTTGTTAAATCTAGCAGATTTTTGTTAAATCTAGCAGATATTTGAAGTGCATCTAGCACAATTTTGCCATTACCTTACGGTAACACTGGTAATTGATGTGACGCACACAACGTGTATCGTACATTGACTGAAAACGACAGGAAAAACGTATGCGCATTACGTCGTGTCCGATTTAAACAACTGGTTTTTTTCTTTTTCTTCGGGAACGATAAGACCTTAGGTTAGTTTCTTTTCAACCGGACCTTTCAAAAATTAGTCCGAAATATCCCTTTAACACATTGGCTAAAAAAAAGAGAAGGTACCAGACAGGTGATTCCCCTCGTCCTCCCCGCTACCGCTAGGGAATATTGGAAAAGGAAACTTGAGAGTTACGGTCATGCATAATCCGGATATGGCTTCCTCTTTCCTGGAAGACGAGTATTTTAAAGGGCATTACGGCCTGAAATCCCCGAAAATTTCATGTTTTTGAATTGTTTACTTATACTATTTTAAAGGTCTAGTTTCAAGGGAACTAATCTAATGTCGTACCGTTCCTGAGAAAAGACGAAAAAAGCGGCCGGTTGTTTACATCGACGCGACGGAGTACGCGTAGTATTCCCTGTCGTTTCCATTCAATGTACGATACACGTCGTGTGTGTGTCACATAAGTTACACACATCACCCATACAGACATCACGCCACGCGATAAACACACATCGCGCTAGACTTGCTGACAAGTCGCTAGATAATCGTATTTTGTCCCTGAATTTCAGTCAAACTCCATCGGCACGGCTGGTATAGTAGTACGTAATCGATTAGTCTGGTTCCCAGACCTGACAATTATTCCCGACGCTTACGTTTGAATTGTTGGTCAGGCAGCCTCCGTGGCTACAAAATAAACATGATGACATCGATGGCCCTTTTTCAAAGCTCGGCTTCGTTTCCGATTTCGCTTTATCACTTTTAGCTTTTAATGCTCTGATCAAATTTTTAAATAAATCACTTGCTTCGTATTATCATACAGTTATGATAATACAGTTTGATGTTTCTGTCAGATAACATTGACTAATGTTGATCTGGAATCTTAAAATTAGGCATCCAAATAGCACTGTTAGCAGGCGGAGCCGAATGAAGACCGAGTTTGGGGAAATTTTGGTAACGGTCGTCAAATTCAAAATTGTTGCGGGCAGGTCCAATCGCGCACCGCTATGCAATACGTCGGGGGCATGTTTGTAGATCTGGCGACGTTTTAACGACCAATACATCAGCTAGGTCAGCATCATTTGGTCTGGGAACCAAATTACCGCATTGCATGCATGATGCAGCGATATATTTTGCGTGCGTGGATGGAGCCAGTATTACCGTACACAAAACAATTACCGACTTGGCACCAAGTCTAACATCGCGCCGCCGCATTAGTGACCATACCGCACCGTAAAAAACCACCGGCGTGTTAATCCTAGTAGTAGTTTCCATATCGAATTATAAAAACGCAAAGTGAAAAGCAATCAGGACCCAACTGCAAAGCAGACATAATGGAAACATTCCATCCGGAGGTATCGCCAACATCTCAGACAGACGCAAACTGCCTTGCATACGATCGACAAATTGAACCCATTTTTGGGGTGACCGTAAGGTCATTGCCAAATTCTGCTAAATGCAATTCAAAAATCTGTCAGATTTATCAAAAATCTGCCAAATTCCCCAGAATCACTCGAAAAGTCGAAATACACTATAAACACTTAAAATCATAAGCAGATGTTGTAGTATTGCTTTAATTAAGGTTCAAATTACATTATAAACGATGTATAGTCACATAAAGATGCTATGAAATCATCGAATAAATTTCCGGCAAAATGCGGTTGCGTCATGACGAAGTCCAGTTCCCTGTGAACCTTAACACGTACACCAGCCAACCTTTCCCATTTGTAAGAAGTTTTCGTGTATTTTCCCCCTTTTCGCGAAATGATATAGTCTCAAAAGTTTCTTCCAATAGCACTAACTGCATTTATCACAGAACCGGTCTTTGTTACTCTGTGCGCGTTATGTAACCGTTTTTTTGCAGCAAGCTTTTTCGGTAGTTGTGGGTTTTCTCTCCAGCAGCATTACAAAAGCCATGGTTGTGTGCAAATTAGGTGTTTGCAACACCTTTGGTGAATAATAGAATTCAGGTGTTTAAACAAAAGTTACTAGGGAGTTGCTTTGCCAACAGTGAAGGAACAGTGGAGTGATTGGGTGTGTGTGGGTTTCTGACGGAAAAGTGAGAGTGATCATGAAGGAATCAGATCAGAGCAGACCAGATCGTGGTAGAAAGCAGAGGTGATTTTGAAGAATTGTCTTGTGTGTGTCACTGCATGAACCTGAGCCAACAGGCATAGCAAAGCTATAGCAGGCAGTTTATGTTGAGTAGTTGAGAGCCTATTTGAGGCAGTAATATTTGGGCTTGAATTTCAAGGCCCCAGTGAGCAGTTTTGTGCTCAGTTAAACACACCAAGGAGATCTGGGATTTCAAGAAACCACACAACCATGGCTGTCTGGTGAAGGACAAGGGACGAGCTGTAGCCATTAGCCAAGGGCATCGAACTGGTGCGGCTGTAGGACACCCAACCCAGGAGGCGGTGTATCCAACGATCAACCGGCATCAGACGATTCAAGACAGTACCGTGGGCTGATATCCTTTAAACGCCTACTCCTCCCATTTAAAGACCCTTGTATAGAGTAAAATAATTTAAAGTAACTGCAGAGTGGAAGTTTGTTTAAAGATTAATTGCTATTGATTTAAAAGGAAACACGAAGGACATAATATGATCTAGAATGTGAATTAATGTAACAAGTGAAGAAATACCGGCCTACCACAGTTGTAAATAAGTGTAAATTGTTTGTAAATAGAACAGATATACTGAAGGAAAAGCTTATTGTGTTTAGTGTGTTTCTTTCGTTGTTGAGGAAATAAATAGTTGTAGACTATTGGACACGAATTTAGGGAATAATCCTAACACCATTATGCAATGATTTGTTTAAAAAGTTGTAGCATTTTTTCAACAAATGTACCATTTTTTTCAAATTTGCCAGAAATCTGCCAACAAAATCCATTCTGTCAAATTTTCTGTCAAACACGTTTTTTTTAACAAAACATCTGTCAAAGTTAGCCGAAAATCGGCTAAAACAGTCACCCTGCCCATTTCATCATTACATTCTTATTCGAAAAACAAGATTTGGACGTTATATTTTTCCATTTTCGCTGGGCACATTATTATTAGTGAAGTCGGTACAAGGGCGGATCCAGAACACTTTTTTTTTTTTGGGGGGGGCCCAAAAAAAATTTGGTCCCCCCAAAAAGTGGGTCAAAAAATTTCGGCGTGGGGTTCGGGGCCCGCTTAAGGGCCCCGAAATTGTTTTGGATTCTAGATGCTCTGTGGTGCGATCTGAGGCAATTTCTGACCACTTTAACCAATTTTTTTTGAGGAAAAGATGGTGGTGTACTCATTGCCTGCCTTTATTGCGATGTCACATTAAAAAAAATAAAAATTGGTTTCGTTTTTTTTTTTGGGGGGGGGGGGCATGGCCCCCTTTGTCCCCCCCCCCTGGATCCGCCCTTGAGTCGGTAGACCTGTCGGACGCATGCCGGATGTGAAACATATGGTGACACTGAAGGGCAAATATATATTGAAATATTTGCGATGTCGCAAATTTTATCACAAATATCTGTGCAAATATTTGTGATGTCCAAAATTTTTATATTTTGCACACTTTGTTGCAAAGAAAAAGACACTGTTTGCATGATTTGAGCCTGGCTATTTTTTCAAGAAAATGTGGGGTTCATAAAGTTGTTTGAGTTCCATGTGCATACGGGAGAGTAGTCGGGTACCGTACGTTATACGTACGTTTTGACGAAATGTTTTATGCATGATCAATAAAGTTTTTTGAGGTGAGAATAATTAAAAAAACCAAAGGATGCGGTTCTAAAAAGCATGCGGGCGGGGACGACAACTTATTTTGTTTAATTTGGCCTAGGAGTGTCACCGGCTGTACATGAAATATCCTGGTGTAAACGGTGCATACTGTGAGTTGGAATGCTGCGTGGATCAACGGCTCGACACCTTAGATGTCGAAAGGGTTGCAACAGGCCGTTTAGCTTATGATATCGGCTTGAGGTAAGAGACACGCTCATGGGCGTCGCTAGGATTTGTTGGGGGGGGGGGGGCGCTGGAAAAGTTGAAAAAGTCACAATGATAGTAGGCATAAATTCGTTAAGATCAGTGAAAGCTATAAAGTATACTCAGCTATATATCTCTTTTTTTTCATAATGTAGGCCACTAGGCCACGCGTAAATTTCAGCCGCAGGGCCAAATATGCCACTGCGCAATGAGGGCTGCCAATTTTACACCGACGCGAGGCGCTACTCAAATAGTTCCTTTGTATTTGTATCGTTTAGAGACCACTTTATTTGGAGCCATTGTTATTGTATCACTATATGTAGTTCAAACACTGTAGATTACGATTTTCCTAGAACGCGATCGTAGAAACGGTAATTTAATGAAACAACCATCTCAGTTTCTCAGATGTCGTTTGTTTACATTTGTTTCAGAGATTTCCTCGACATTCTTGTACCTAGCGGTAGAGGGGGGTATCAAGTAGTCAGATTTGTGGACACAAAGATCGTTGTATCTCTTGATTGAACGCGTTTGAATATTGTCCAAGAAGTGCTTTCAAAATATATTGAGAACGTAACTACGATCTGAGAAAATAAGTCAGCTTTGTTGAGGTCTGGTTTACCACGTATCGCAAGCAATACAAAACACTAACAATGTATACTAGTCAGATTTTAAAATTGCTCATTTTTATCAAAACAAACAAATTAATGTATTCTAAAGATCGCCTGGTGGGGTTTTATGTTCAGTATTGTATTGCTCCGTGATTTGTTTGCACCTAAGACCCCCTTTACACAGGCCTGCGACCTTTGGGCCTCCCTTGTGCGACCATAAAACTGGCCAGGTCGCTTTGAAGGCTCAACGGAGGCCGAATGGTTGCCTAGGTCGTTCAAAGGTGGTACACAGGATGTTCAGACATCGCCATGGTCGCCGTAAATTTTTGAACATGTTCAAAACAGTCGCACAAAGGTGAGGTTGGTTGCTCAAAGGTGGCTCAAATGAGGCAGAAGGGAGGCACAAGCATTGCCGTGGTTGCAGAATGGATGCACAATGGTCGGCCAATGGTCGCCACGTAATAGATCCGTTCTGTTGCAAAGTTTACCGTCAATCTGGGCGATGCTTCTGCCTCCCTTGTACCTCAAGGGTCGCCTAGGAGGCAGAAGCATGGCTGAATGGTCGACCAGTGATCGCCGTTAGTTGTCGTTGGTCGCCGATCATGGCACAGAAGAGGCACAGAGGAGGCTCAATGGTTGCCCAAACTTTGCTCGGGGTCGCCTATGTTGCCTATAATTGCGTTGGTTGCCATAGGTTGCACAGGGGAAGCACAGGGGAGGCAGGCAAGTGGCTCAGTGGACGCACAGGTCGCTCGTAGCTCGACATGAAAATGCCCGAAAATTGCAGTTTTGGTGGTTAGGCACAAGGATCGCTGGAGCAGTTACATAGAAACAGGATTTTCTGAGTTTAGGCGACCAGTGAGCGTCCTGGCCATGTTTTGGTCGCTCATAGGTGGTACAAAGGTCGCAGCCCTGTGTAAAAGGGGCCTTAGCAACCACCATTCAAGGGACAAATCACCACATGGATTTCCCCAAAATGAATTTCTAGCCATGGCTTGCTTAATACAAACACAAATATTTAAAGTAAATAATGATTTAAATTACGCGCGTAAAAACAGTTAAACTTGGCATCTAAGAGGAAGTGCCTGGTTGTCAGGGCGCATTTCGTATAGTTTCCCAGGGCCCAGTCAAGTTCCCGCCGCAGTTATATCTTATAAAAATCGTTCGTTCTATGGGAGTGAAAGGTACATGGCCTGCCGTCATTAAGCTTCAACTGAAATAGTTTTTGCATGCACACTAAACATATTGAGCAATAGGCCACGCATAACAAATTGTACGGCTAGAAATTCATTTCGCGGAAAAAATATGACAAAATAAACATAATTCGATGGTTTTCTGGTCACTGCAAGAAGTTGAGACAATTGCTGCCGTGTCATACGTAAACACACCGGGTTTGTGCAAAGAAACGGTGTTTGCAAAGTCGACCTTTGTTTTTTACTCTCTAACTGACGCTTAGTTTAACCACATTTGATAAACTACCACAAATATGCACAAAGACCACGAATTAAACCAAGTCATTGTCAGCTGACCGCCGGACCCCTCCCCCCCCCCAAAAAAAAGCAGTTGGAAAATAAATAGCTAGCCGGCACGGTCATTATAATCGTAACTTCGCCGGAGACAGAGAGCACAATGCAGCAACGCTTGCATTCTAACCATCATTATCATATGAAGTTCAACTGGTTCAGATTGACTGACCCTAACCCTAACCCTTATCCTATGGGGCGTCGGACCAATGGGACTTTGGACCAATGGGACTTTGGACCAATGGGACGTCGGACCAATGGGACGAATAGACCAATGGGACGTATAGAGCAATGGGCCGTCGGACCAATGGGGCGTACGACCAATGGACGTCGGACTAATGGTACGTTGGACTATAGAGACGTCCCCAATATGGTATACGGAGGGCTACTGATTCACATCCTCCCCCATTTTAGTTCCAGAGCTGGACGCCAAAAATGGGCAGTCATGACTGGCAATCTGATAACTTTAATACAGTCGCGAAGTCCTGCTTTAAGGTTTTAGCCAAGCCTTTTATACCCCTGAACGGATAAACTAAAGGGACCGACAATGATGGTTACTTTCCCTCTGCCTTATAGCAGAACAGAGGGGTTAGGCACTTTGCCCCCTCCCCTGGTGGATTTTTAAGAGATTTTTTTCACTATTTCCATAAATAGTCATAGAGCTCTGACATGAAAACAAAAGAAAACCCGCTCCCAATCCATTACAATGCGCCGTGAAAAATCAGCATATATTTTCTAGTATGCATAATAACGGTCAGTTTTGAAGAGCGCTCCCATTTGGAAGATGGGTACTAGCCCCCCCCCCTTGATTTTACGGAGGCCAAGTGACCGAAAAAAACCCATGTCTACATTTTGGCGCGGAAGTGGTGTTGCCCCCCCCCCCCCCACATCACATGAATGCTGGATACGCCACTGAAGCAATGTCAAATGCCGGCACAATTTGCCGACGGACCACTTCGTGCTTGAAGGTAGCCAGGGTTTTATCGATCACGCAACTGCTATGTTACGCTAGTATAGCTTTCGGTAACATAGCAATTGTTTCACTGTATTACAGGTGCCTATAAAATGCACAGGTAATCATTTTCTTTAACCAACTAAAATATCTTGCATTTGAGAACTGCCCATCCTGAGTTTTCTCTTTATAGGAATGGAGACATTCTACGTTCGATCAATCTCACTAAAGTGGAAAGAGTTAGTGTATCATCTATTGTGGAAACCATGCAATGGCTGGATGTGGACCGTCCCATTGTGATTGTAAGTAGGTCCATTTTAATATGAAAGAAATAACTCCAAATGTCCATTTTGTTCACAATTTGTTTCAAAGGATATTAATAAATAATTTGTCAAACTAATTCAAAAAAATATCACGGCAAAGAGCAAGCATAGCGCCATCATATACGCTACAGTCATGCACGTTCAGGCGGCAATAATCTGAAAGGTAATGTACAAGTTTACATATGTGAGTTTCGCAAGTTTACGAAATTGACCAAGTTTAGGGAAAGTAATTTACACCAGACATTGTTTAACTGATCTATTCAATGCTTCTTGTCCATTGGTGCTGGAAAAAACAAGACAAATGTTTATGTTTCTACCGTTAAATTGCAGCTTGCTGAATCTCTCGTGCGTAGAACCGAGGGTTGCAGACCAATAAATAGATTGCCATATAATAAACCTCAGTGATAATTGTACGCGCACTTCCCCAAATTATAGAAAATATTCACAACTCTACAAGGTCACCTTTTGAGACACACATCAAATTGAAGCTTATTTCATCATCTTTAATTAATTTCATTTAATTTGTTTTGGGTAAACCGATAATCAACCGTTGCAAAAGGGCCAACGCTCCATTGCAAAAAGGGGGCCATTTAAAGGACCGAATTTCACAGAAATACGAGCCGGTCGTTCTTTCGTTTTTTGTTTACAATTCCTCTCAATGCTCTTATACCGGATAATTTGAGGGCATGCAAATCGTGATTTGGCGCTGGCCGACGTAGACAATTTCGGGTCCCTTTACCTGCCTGCTCCCATAGATCATACGGCATACCGGCTGTGTAGTGTATGGGAAAACAAATCACAAAACAAACGGTACATACAGGCCTACCCTGCGCATGCATGAAGTGGCCGCAGCTAATCAGGAGATGTAGCATGAGTAACTTAAAACAAATCACAATACAAACAGTACATGCAGGCCTACCCTGCACATGCATGAAGTGGCCGCAGCTAATCAGGAGATGTAGCATGAGTAACTTAAAACAAATCACAATACAAACGGTACATGCAGGCCAACCCTGCACATGCACGAAGTGACTGCAGCTAATCAGGAGATGTAGCATGAGTAACTTAAAACAAATCACTATACAAACGGTACATGCAGGCCTACCCTGCACATGCACGAAGTGGCCGCAGCTAATCAGGAGATGTAGCATGAGTAACTTAAAACAAATCACTATACAAACGGTACATGCAGGCCTACCCTGCACATGCACGAAGTGGCCGCAGCTAATCAGGAGATGTAGCATGAGTAACTTAAAACAAATCACAATACAAACGGTGCATGCAGGCCAACCCTGCACATGCATGAAGTGGCCGCAGCTAATCAGGAGATGTAGCATGAGTAACTTAAAACAAATCACAATACAAACAGTACATGCAGGCCTACCCTGCACATGCATGAAGTGACTGCAGCTAATCAGGAGATGTAGCATGAGTAACTTAAAACAAATCACAATACAAACAGTACATGCAGGCCTACCCTGCACATGCATAAAGTGGCTGCAGCTAATCAGGAGATGTAGCATGAGTAACTTAAAACAAATCACTATACAAACGGTACATGCAGGCCTACCCTGCACATGCATGAAGTGGCCGCAGCTAATCAGGAGATGTAGCATGAGTAACTTAAAACAAATCACTATACAAACGGTACATGCAGGCCTACCCTGCACATGCATGAAGTGACTGTAGCTAATCAGGAGATGAAGCATGAGTAACTTAAAACAAATCACTATACAAACGGTCCATGCAGGCCTACTCTGCACATGCACGAAGTGGCTGCAGCTAATCAGGAGACGTAGCATGAGTAACTTGAAACAAATCACTATACAAACGGTACATGCAGGCCTACCCCGACATGCATGAAGCAGTGTTGTAGTCGAGACCGGATAGTCCGAGACCGAGACCAAGACCGAGACCTGAAGATTCGAGACCGAGACCGAGACCGAGACCAGCCCCTTCAAGGCGGACCGAGACCGAGACCAATATGGTCCGAGACCGAGACCGAGACCGAGACCGCTGATAATAAATAACAATGGTCGAAATTAAAAAAAAGACACGTTTTTATAGTTGAAAAATGTAACCTTTCTATTCACAAAGAATACAGACCAAAATTTTGACCAGTGGCAGTGTTGACAAATTGATACACATGGGCGTCGCCAGGATTTTTTTATAGAGGGGGGCAAAAAAAATGTTGCCAAAAAATGCTTGTATTTCTCAACACATTCTTGATTTATCAGTTTTAGAGGGGGGCAGGGACATTCCCCCCCCCCAACTCATTAAGTTTACACCACTTTGTCTTCGCGCCTCTTTTTCTTTTCTTTTTTTCTTTTCTTTTTCCTTCCTTTTTTTTGTGCTTTTCCAGGGGGGGGGGGGGCAAGTGCCCCCCCCTTGCCCCCTCCTCGCGACGCCCATGTTGATACATGACACCTTACTTGAGCAAAAAGTAGTTACACTTAAGAAATATGGGCTTTGACATGTTGTCTGCACCCAATCGTGACAAAAGTAAAAAGTTAAAGGTAGATGTTTCATCTGTTATAGGAACTCGGATCCTGAACTCCACAGTCACCCCTTGGTTTCAGCTATGACTTCTAACGGATATAAAAGATGCAATTTTAATTTTACATTGCCTCTTTTTTCCTAAAATAAATAAAGGACTTAACTTCTAACAAAATTTGTGTACTTGATTTTAAAATATGGGAGCTAGAAAATGTTGAATTAATTTTTAAATTTCTGTCATAGAATGTGGATTTGTACATGTAGACCCGCAAGTTGCGAGGTGATATGGATTTAAAAAAAAAAATTCTGAACGGGATTTTTATTTTTTAGGAATAATGGGGTACTTCAAAATGAGCAGCCAGGAAATGGGGTCTCATCATACACTCTCATGGCAACAGTGAGTGGTAACTGGTAAGAGTGTGTGAGTTCAAAGCTGGAAAATCAGGTAGAAAAATTGACTTTTTCTCCAAAATACTGTCCCAAATTAAAGAGAACATTGTGTGGGGTCAAAAATATAACTAATTTTAAGCACCTCATTTATTATCAGAATACAAAATGCAAGTGATTACGCCCACAGGGGTGGGCTAAACTACATCCCCGAAAATGGTTGACTCCTATTGCATAAATTGTTACAAGTTTATACTTTGCTTTATGTGGCCGACTCAACAGATAAATGCCGAACTTGTTCCAAATCGTTCAGTGACTGGTACTGCTGCAGCTTTACATGTACTTTGGGCACTTTCCAACGTGCAGTCGAGTCCAAACCGACCGCGATATATAACAAGCTTGATCTACGGGCTAGCAAATGTTTTAAATAACAACGGTACTGAACGAAGTGAACACAAAGTAATCGATCGAGCTGTAAAAGCTTCATATTGCCGGTCTCGACCCGAGACCAGCCAAAATATCGAGACCAAAGGGGACCGAGACCGAGACCAAGACCGAGACCACAGCTTCCGAGACCGAGACCGAGACCGAGACCAGCAAAAAGTGGTCTCGAGACCGGTCTCGAGACCGAGACCGGTCTCGAGACCTACAACACTGGCATGAAGTGGCCGCAGCTAATCAGGAGATGTAGCATGAGTAACTTAAAACAAATCACAATACAAACAGTACATGCAGGCCAACCCTGCACATGCATGAAGTGACTGTAGCTAATCAGGAGATGAAGCATGAGTAACTTAAAACAAATCGCAATACAAACGGTACATGCAGGCTTTGTACACCTTTCCCTCACCCATACACTTCGGCATTTTCGCTTACTATCCGCTCCGTTCACAAGTACCCCCTCACCGGCAAAGAGAGTACAGTTGGGGGTGACCGACCGACGCCATCTTGCCTGACTGCAATTCATTTGCCGCGCAGCGCGGCCACTGCGTGGACAAAGTGCAAATCCCCGGGTGTACGTGCGTCATACACAAGGAACGGTGCGCGTCAACCAGCGAAATGTCCCGCCCATGAGACGTCGTTGCTAGGTAAAAGGGCGCCCTCTTTTGTCGGCGCACGGAGCCCATAGGTAGAGCTCGCTTTTTGCCATCCAGACCTGAAGTATTAAAAGAGTATTAAGAGTTGTGTGAGGGCGCTATTTTGATTTGGGGCACATTTTCTTAATCGTACAACATGTACATTGTGTATAGACCTACACTAACCGTAGCCAAACAAGAGGGTTCTGCTTCCGATTACATGGCATATGAGGAAGTTCTTTTAATGGTCAGCCAACCAGATCATTGTAAAGTCATACAAAGTCGCATTTTTCTTGAAAATGACAGTCTGATGAGCACGACAGGTGCTTGTAATCATGGCAATGATTGTCAACTTTTAAGTCCTATCATGCAATTGGATTAATGCGTGGAAAATAATCACAATTTACTCTGCATTATACCTCACATTTAAGGGGCAAAATATTCCTGATTTTTAATCATTTCTTTTCTTGCATAGAAAAATGATAACCTGCCCTATAAAAGTACATCCAAAAGAGTAGCCTGTGGTTATGCAAAAACAAATTGAAGCCTCTCCGAACCGTGTTAAAACGAAGTTTAGGAAACTAGTTTACCTGAAGTTCGGCTTGTCTGATGACTTTAATGAGATTGCCACAATGTTGTCATCGCTTTCTTCTGTGGATAATGAGGAATGGTCATCAGAGGATATTTCTGGACCGCTATCCGCGAAAATTTCGTCGGGAATTTCAGAAGATGGTTTTCAGGTATCTGGTTTTTCTAACTTACGCCCGCGTGGGTTATCGTCCAATCAGAGGCCGATGTCAAAAATGAGGGCGCTGTTTACATTTCAGTTGCAGGTGTAATTGCCGTGTGCCATTTGGAGCTCTTGGCAACCAGAGAGTATTGAATTCGTAGGACAAAGGGTCAAATTGGTAAAGAAGCTACATGCCACTTTGAGCACAGGACTGGCACTCATGGGGCTGATGGGTGCAGGCCAGTAAATCGGTTCGAAATTGTCTAGGCCCAATCACGATTTGCATGCCCTCAAATTCTTTAGTATTAAAGCATTTTGAAGGCCGTGAACTTGATGATTTGTAAAAAAGAAGGTTAGTAAAAAAGGAGCTCGTATTTCTGTGAAATGGGGATGAGGTTAGGCCCTAAAATGGCTCTATTTTGCAATGGAGCGTAGGCGGTCATTTTCAAAATGGCGATGGGCTTCAGTACTGGTTTTAGGGGTGATCATCTTGATCATCTTTGGATGGGATTTTCTCCCAAAGGTCATGGGCTAACCTTCAGAAAATTGAACAGAAAATGAAAGATGATGATAGAAGCTTTAATTTGATGTACGTCTTGAACACCTCAGAGTGTTGTGAGTATTTTTCCTGATTTTTTTAAGCGGGGCCATTTACCATTGGGGTCTATGGAAATGTATTTTCTGGTCTGCAACCTGATGGGGTTAAGGGGAGAAATGCAATAATGGCGTGGGTCAGGGGTCAGTGGCAAAGGTGAGACGGTTCAGTCAGACCAATTAGGAGATCCATACTAAGAACAGCTGGGAACTACTGACTTCTATCCAAACTGGAGTGGTTGCTTCAAGCTGATTGGCTATTAACGCCCCTGGACGCAATTGATCCATCATCGTGGGTGCCCATATCGTCACGATAGATGTACATGCATACATAGTGCTGAGTTCAGGTTTTCCATTTCCCATAGTTATCAAATACTTTTTGGATTTTAGGAAGACTTAAGATAGGATTGCTGAAATCTTTTAGAATTCAATTCTTAATTAAGGGGTTAATTTGCTTTATTTTTTTATTTAAGGGAATAGAACGAAAACGCCAACAGCAAGTGGAGTTTTGGTGGTTTGTGTTCAAACTGGAAAACAAAGGTACGTTGAGATGCTTAAAGTCGATGAAGTCATGGGCGTCGCTAGTCCATTTTGAATGAATAGGGGGGTGTCATCATACAATGAAATTATCTCTTTAACTCCATTTCTAAATTCCTCCACAAATATATGAATGATAAGTTAAAAATTCAAAATTGAAATCGTCAAAATTTGGCCCTATCATATTGACCAGTTTTGGACATAAAAAAACTGCGTGTATACACGCTCAGTACGTGTGCTAATACCTTGTTTAGGCCCGTTTCCTGATCCCAGACTGGGAGAGAGGGAGGGTCTTTAAACCCTTGAAAAAAAAACTTTTTATTATGCGAGCGCAAGCGCAAAGCCCTGAAGGCGTGGTGCAATCTGAAGCATTTCCTTAACACTTTCACCTGACTTTTTGAATGAAATGTGCTCATGTTTAGGGAAATGGGGGTGGGTGATCAAAGTTGATATATTGCATCACAAACATCACATCAAAACTGTAGCTTGACACTCTTTAGCTTGATCCATAATTTTAAATCGTCACAAGAATCAGCTCAATTCGTAACTGCCTGCGAGGGAGTACGTGCTCGATTTCATGATTTTCTCTTTTTATTGGAAACCCGGTGGGAACATTTATGATTTTTACTCTACTATATTATTACCTTGTTTTAAAATGGCAGAAACACATACAATTATGCCTCGAATATCTTCAGTGAGGTCAACCATTGTCTGTAGAAAAAAATAAATGATTCACATTATTTCAGCGGCCCACATTGATTTGTGCAGAAATCAAAACAGTACGGTGACTTGTTTTTCCCACTTATAGGCCTGGGTAATGATTATCTTATTAAAACGGGGTTGCAAATTACGCAAGTCTTTATTTTGGAGTTCTAAATAAATAAAACTCAATCGCTATCCCCCAGTCACACAATTACACATTGCCATGATTGCCATCCAGCAATGAGTACTCAATCGCTATCCCCCAGTCACACAATTACACATAGCCATGATTGCCATTCAGCAATGAGTACTCAATCGCTATCTCCCAGTCACACAATTACACATAGCCATGATTGCCATTCAGCATTGAGTACTCAATCGCTTTCCCCCAGTCACACAATTACACATTGCCATGATTGCCGTCCAGCAATGAGTACTCAATCGCTTTCCCCCAGTCACACAATTACACATAGCCATGATTGCCATCCAGCAATGAGTACTCAATCGCTATCCCCAGTCACACAATTACACATAGCCATGATTGCCGTCCAGCAATGAGTACTCAATCGCTATACCCCAGTCACACAATTACACATAGCCATGATTGCCATCCAGCAATGAGTACTCAATCGCTTTCCCCCAGTCACACAATTACAAATAGCCATGATTGCCGTCCAGCAATGAGTACTCAATCGCTATCCCCCAGTCACACAATTACACATAGCCATGATTGCCGTCCAGCAGTGAGTACTCAATCGCTATCTCCCAGTCACACAATTACACATAGCCATGATTGCCGTCCAGCAATGAGTACTCAATCGCCATCACCCAGTCACACAATTACACAAAGCCATGATTGCCATTCAGCAATGAGTACTCAATCGCTATCTCCCAGTCACACAATTACACATAGCCATGATTGCCGTCCAGCAATGAGTACTCAATCGCTATCCCAAGTCACACAATTACACATTGCCATGATTGCCATTCAGCAATGAGTACTCAATCGCTATCTCCCAGCCACACAATTACACATAGCCATGATTGCCATTCAGCAATGAGTACTCAATCGCTATCTCCCAGTCACACAATTACACATAGCCATGATTGCCATCCAGCAATGAGTACTCAATCGCTATCTCCCAGTCACACAATTACACATAGCCATGATTGCCATTCAGCAACGAGTACTCAATCGCCATCACCCAGCCACACAATTACACATAGCCATGATTGCCATTCAGCAATGAGTACTCAATCGCTATCCCCCAGTCACACAAATACACATAGCCATGATTGCCGTCCAGCAATGAGTACTCAATCGCTATCCCCCAGTCACACAATTACACATAGCCATGATTGCCATTCAGCAGTGAGTACTCAATCGCTATCTCCCAGTCACACAATTACACATAGCCATGATTGCCGTCCAGCAATGAGTACTCAATCGCTTTCCCCCAGTCACACAATTACACATTGCCATGATTGCCATTCAGCAATGAGTACTCAATCGCTATCTCCCAGTCACACAATTACACATAGCCATGATTGCCATTCAGCAATGAGTACTCAATCGCTTTCCCCCAGTCACACAATTACACATAGCCATGATTGCCATTCAGCAATGAGTACTCAATCGCCATCACCCAGCCACACAATTACACATTGCCATGATTGCCATTCAGCAATGAGTACTCAATTGCTATCTCCCAGTAACAATTACACATAGCCATGATTGCCATCCAGCAATGAGTACTCAATCGCTTTCCCCCAGTCACACAATTACACATAGCCATGATTGCCGTCCAGCGATGAGTACTCAATCGCTTTCCCCCAGTCACACAATTACACATTGCCATGATTGCCATTCAGCAATGAGTACTCAATCGCTATCTCCCAGTCACACAATTACACATAGCCATGATTGCCGTCCAGCAATGAGTACTCAATCGCTTTCCCCCAGTCACACAATTACACATAGCCATGATTGCCATTCAGCAATGAGTACTCAATCGCCATCACCCAGCCACACAATTACACATTGCCATGATTGCCATTCAGCAATGAGTACTCAATCGCTATCTCCCAGTAACAATTACACATAGCCATGATTGCCATCCAGCAATGAGTACTCAATCGCTATCTCCCAGTCACACAATTACACATAGCCATGATTGCCGTCCAGCAATGAGTACTCAATCGCTTTCCCCCAGTCACACAATTACACATTGCCATGATTGCCATTCAGCAATGAGTACTCAATCGCTATCTCCCAGTCACACAATTACACATAGCCATGATTGCCGTCCAGCAATGAGTACTCAATCGCTTTCCCCCAGTCACACAATTACACATAGCCATGATTGCCATTCAGCAATGAGTACTCAATCGCTTTCCCCCGTCACACAATTACACATAGCCATGATTGCCATTCAGCAATGAGTACTCAATCGCTATCTCCCAGTCACACAATTACACATAGCCATGATTGCCATTCAGCAATGAGTACTCAATCGCTATCCCCAGTCACACAATTACACATAGCCATGATTGCCGTCCAGCAGTGAGTACTCAATCGCTATCCCCCAGTCACACAATTACACATAGCCATGATTGCCGTCCAGCAATGAGTACTCAATCGCTATCCCCAGTCACACAATTACACATAGCCATGATTGCCACCCAGCATTGAGTACTCAATCGCTATCCCCCAGTCACACAATTACACATAGCCATGATTGCCGTCCAGCAGTGAGTACTCAATCGCTATCCCCAGTCACACAATTACACATAGCCATGATTGCCGTCCAGCAATGAGTACTCAATCGCTTTCCCCCAGTCACACAATTACACATAGCCATGATTGCCATTCAGCAATGAGTACTCAATCGCTTTCCCCCAGTCACACAATTACACATAGCCATGATTGCCGTCCAGCATTGAGTACTCAATCGCTATCTCCCAGTCACACAATTACACATAGCCATGATTGCCGTCCAGCAATGAGTACTCAATCGCTTTCCCCCAGTCACACAATTACACATTGCCATGATTGCCATTCAGCAATGAGTACTCAATCGCTATCTCCCAGTCACACAATTACACATAGCCATGATTGCCGTCCAGCAATGAGTACTCAATCGCTTTCCCCCAGTCACACAATTACACATAGCCATGATTGCCATTCAGCAATGAGTACTCAATCGCTATCTCCCAGTAACAATTACACATAGCCATGATTGCCATTCAGCAATGAGTACTCAATCGCTTTCCCCCGTCACACAATTACACATAGCCATGATTGCCGTCCAGCAATGAGTAATCGGCGCCGTATAATAAGTCCGACGCCTCATAGGTCCGACACCTCATTAGTCCGAAATTTCGGACTTATGAGGCTTGGGGTAAGTCCCTTCAATTTATTTTTTTAAGAGAGCACTTTCCAGTTGCTACTTCTCAGGCTTCACGATGATACTTGAAAAAAATTGCAAATGAATATAATAATAGTAAGTCAAAAATGAGGATTTTTTTTTATTCATGCTGTCAAACAAGAAGTTATGATGAGTTGATACGATTTCCACTTCACAACCAACGAAGAGTTTTCTTTGCAAATTTCATTAGGAATGTTCACTGTTTCATATTGTTTTTAAATGGGAAAAACCACTAATAAATGCATTTAATATCACCTCTCATTATACAGCATACAAAAACTGCAATGAGGTATGCAGATTGATAATATTTTTTCCCTAAGGTAAATCATATTGAGCAACGTAGTGCCAATGTTTTTCAAGAGGAGTATCGGTTTCGACGCGGAAGTGCGCAGAGCGAGCTACATGTACTATGAAATGTGTAATTTGAAACACTTCAGGGACATCTTTCCGGTATTTCTTATGGGCAGGTTAATGTTAAAAACATTAGGTAAAAACTGTGCTTAACAAGGATTACCAGACCAGTACAAAACACCATAAATAAAGAAAATAGTAAAGAAAATAATAATATCGTCTGTATGCGGAAATATTAAATTCCCTTGCTAAACTGACATGTTTTCACCGTTCTCTTTTAGGAGGATATCCAGTGGTGGATGTCATTTTTAGCATTTCTAATGACTGTGGTGAAATTCCTGAATTTCAACAAGATTTCCAAACCGTTAGCACTTTTATGTACCAACCACCGCCGATAAAAATCAACATCGTACAAGCAACAAGTCAGCTATATCTGAGTGTTCAGAGTGGAAAGCTCGAGTTTCTCACTTTCAATCCATCTACAGGTAGGTATTCATTTGCCATGGTAACGCAAACGTGTTCTTCCAATCATTCCATTCCAAGCCCCCCAAAGTTAAAGTCAGATAACAGAGTGGTGGTAAACGATTTCTTTGTCACCTAATCATTCCTTGTTTTAAGATGAACGCAAAAGTAAAACTCGTCAGTACACGAAAAATAAGTTTTTTTTTTTTTTTGGGGGGGGGATTATTTTGCAATTCAAATATTTTTTCCCCTTTTCAGCCCAGTTTTACATGTACAGGTATGGTGGGTCAAATCCAGCAAGAGGAGTTCCAGTTGCACTGGTTCAGATGCCATTACAAGATGGCGAGTCTGATAGTTGTATCGAGACGGTCAGTTTGGACGAAGTTCAGCTTTCTTTAACTGTAAGGCCACTGGATTTTGGATTTTTTTGTCTTTACTGATATACTTTAAAGGACAATTTTGTACATAATTCTCCGCCGCCTTACATTGAATAACTAGATCTCTAAGCTTACAGAATCTGATTCAAGTGTGCATGTAACTGCGACATCATGATGATGTCTTAAGGTATTGATTTACAAGGAATTTCAAGACAAAAACCAAATGCAATCATTAATTACTAATGAAACAAATCAACTCTCAACGGTAGGCGGGCTCATCTTATTTAATGCATGTTTTGCAATAAGAGCCATTGTGGCTATAATTAGATCGTCCTCACATGATATCAAACTTTTAAGTCACGCGAAAGCTTAAATCACATCACACTATTTGAAACAACGCCATGTTGTTCTGCCTATTAAATCACGTCCCTTTCCATATAATATCTGAACCTTTCAAATCTCATCCCCGTCCCGTCCCGTCTCGTCCCATTCCGTCCCGTCCGGCCCGCCCCTCCCGCCCGCCCATCCCACCCGCCCCGCCCCGCCCCCCCCCCCCCGTCCCGTCCCGTCCCGTCCTGTCCCGTTCCGGCCCGTCCCGTCCCATCCCGCCCCATGTCATCACTAAGAGGAAAAGTAGTGTCTTTAACATGTTATCGTCTCTTGGATGGGAGAGCTAACCAACAGAAGGGAAACCCACCAGATGACTCAACTCTACAAGATCATCACTCACACCATTGACATCGATGCTTCAGACTATCTGCAACCAAAAATACAGAGATCTAAGAGAGGGAACAACAACCATTTCAACATATACTACAAACTTCCTGAACTGCATTCAAGAATCCATATTTCCAAGGACCATGAATTATTGAATGATCTGTCTCAGCACATGACTGACTCTGCGTCACACAAGACATTCATAGAGAATTAGTACAAACACATTGTAACCGAGACTTAAATGACCTCCTAGCCATAATCCCATAATCCCTCGCGACGCACATGAGGAGGAAACTCACTATAAAGTACCACGTAGTAGATCCCATCTCATCCAATCCCTTCCACCACATTCCAACCCGTTCATCCTATCCTTCCAATCCCATCCAAAACAATCCTATCCCATCCCATCAAATCCAATCAAATCCCATCTCATTGCATCCCATAGGCCTTATTCAGGAGTCAGCCATGTTGAATTGAAGGGGTAAAATCTTCATTTTTAGAACTTGCGAAGAGAAATGAAAACAAGTACATTGTACATTACTAAATAATTCAAATGTGTAATTAAACATTCCGTAAATGTTTTAAGCCAGATTTAAAAAGAAGTAAATTTAGGCTGCATAAAGCGCCATCCATTCAACAGTTAACAATTGATGAAATACATTCAGAGAACACGACAAAAAGGTCCATCCCATCCCGTCCCGTCCCGTCCCGTCCCGTCCCGTCCCGTCCCGTCCCGTCCCGTCCCGTCCCGTCCCGTCTCGTCCCGTCCCATCCCAAATCCCGTCCCATTTGAGAACCCTAAATGAAAAGGATGCCCTTACTAAACCCAAATAAGCAGGTTTCCTGTTAGATTATGCTTTAATTGAATTTGTCAATGATATCAATCTTTGGTGTCATTCTTCAATTTAAAATTCCAAGGATTTCCCACCCTTGTGTTCTGAGCAAGACAAAGCTAAAGAATCTCCCGTCCCGTCCCGTCCCGTCCCGTCCCGTCCCGTCCCGTCCCGTCCCGTCCCGTCCCAATCCCGTCCCGTCCCAATCCCAATCCCAAATCCCGTCCCAATCCCAAATCCCGTCCCACTTGAGAACCATAAATGAAAAGGATGCCCTTACTAAACCCAAATAAGCAGGTTTCCTGTTAGATTATGCTTTAATTGAATTTGTCATTGATATCAATCTTTGGTGTCATTCTTCAATTTAAATTCCAAGGATTTCCCACCCTTCATGACCAGTTCGCAACCCATCTTGAGCAACAGTAGATTCTTCTATCACCGGCAAGACGGTGACGGTTTCAGTTCGTTCGAAAGCGAATCTGAAAGTGGTGAGCTGTAGTAGTTACTTGTCACATTGTATTCATCAAGAGTATAATAAGGACTCAATGCAGGAGCTGTATGCTTTGCTATATCGCTATATCAAAGTACAAACATTTGCCTAATTTGTCCATATCTTACTACTTTAGATTTATTGTTGCAATCCCCCCTCGTTCAGCCGCTGACTAATTGTATAGTAAAATTGCACCAAAATAATAAATGGAATGCTGAAGTTCCTAAGTCTTTAATCGCCTTAAAATGCAGGAGATAGCGTAGTAGGCTGTTCCGGGGTTGGGGGTATGTCCCGGATCCCCTAATAAGGCCTTCGACACCACGTGACACTAGGGGACGCAGTTGACAGAACAAACGTACATGTACTAATGCTAACTTGCACGTTTATTTTACATACAAATTACCCAAAACATCAATCATCACTCTAGGTTGGGTTTTTGCAAGGATTACACGGTTGCTATATTTACAGTAAAACGTAAAAGATAGAAATCACCGTCTACAGTGTTTTTAACCGACGTTATTGAAAACAATGGTGTACTAGGATTGTAAGGTGTTATTGACTCAAAGTAGGTTCCCTACGCTATTTTCGACTTTCTTTCCGAAAATAAATTTCTTTTCTGAATTGCTATTTTTATATAGCAATACAAAAGTGGTTCCCTATTTGAATTTGACACCGACCGAAAATAATCGGCCCATGTGAAGTTGTTGAGTTCTTACTTTACAATTTGGAATAATTGGCCGCCAGACAATCATTCCGTTCTGATCTGGCGGGGTATGCTTGTTCCCACGCCACAATCAGTATCAATTCTCGATAATGTACGGACCGAGAGCCAGTCTACTCGCAAAACGAATGTGTTTGTTTGTCCCTCCCCCCCCCCCCCCTAAAAAAGGGGAGGGGGATAAGTTTTTTTGTTGTTTGAATTAGACATTAAAGTGGACAATTTATTAATAGAAAAACATCAAATTTGTTGAAGAGCACGGAGAACGCAAATTTAACTCGCTTGTTTAAATGGATCTGATGACGAAGAAAAGTAATCGTCATTTGCATATACGCAGGTTTATAGTTATGTGCAACATTTACAAGTTGCCTCAGTGATCTCTTCTTACCATCGTTACGCGTTATTTTGTTACTTTTATAATGACGTTAAAACGATACTGTTTTGTTAATAAATTTGACAATCATATTTTTTTTTTTTAATGATTTGGTGTCCATTGATTTATACAGGATATTACATCGCGAAGGATCCTGAAAGCGCAGACGCTATTGCTGAAAAACCGCCAACCAGCTGTTCAGCGATGCATGTCCATTCCGACGGACCAGCTATAAAACTTTAAGTGTTCAGCTGGGACACCTAGTTTGGGGTGTGCATCGTGGTGACGTCCATTCGCCTGCAGCACACGGGCGTTGTTCATACCGGTAACGATGGAAGAGCTTAAACTCGGGAACTTCTGTTGTTTGTGGAAAATATATGGTATATCCACAAACATAGTCAAGGTTTCTTATGCTTAAATTGATTGATATCTCAAACGGACTGAATCAGTGTAAAAGGAATGATTCAGGAAATCAATATCTGTTATAATAATATGTTAGTTTCATAAAATTAAAATTGTTGGATTATGAAATAATCACAGTGCTCCAGCTGGCAAAATGCAGATCCTAGGGCATACACATAATAGTCGTTGATATTTGTTCTTTTACTGTTGTTGTTGTTAAACTGCTATTTTTCTAGCAACAAAGGTTGTTCACTTTTATAAGTGAAACACCCACCGAAAACATGCACCTGCTGACGTTTAGTATACAATTAGTTAATTCAGTTCTTGCGGGACAGACTAATTTCCGCCCTCTTTCAGAATCGAAGTACATAGTATACTCACAGGGCGGATCTGTTAGTGCGTCAAAGCAATCCAAATAAAGAGGTTTTTTAAAGGATTTCAAACGTCCAAAACAGAAAAAAAGTTAAAATAAATATATCCAAGGTCAAAATTCCTTAAATAGGAGAAAAATAGTCAAATTTGTTTTAGTTTTAATTACATCTATAAACAAGTGGATGTAAAAAAGTGGAAGATGGTAAATGAAGCTGTAATTTTATCTCGTGGCTTGAACACCTTAGACAAGCATCCGTAATTGTTCAGATTTTTTTTTTTTGAATGAAGATAACATTTTCTGTGGCAATCACGAAGTAGCTTGCAACATTTACGGACATTCAGACCATGGCAATAACATGACTAATCGAATAGCTATCTGAATGTGAAGAATCGGCAACGTGAAAAGTCGTCGAGAGAGGGCCAGTATACCAGGCTATCGACTTTAAGTCCCTTTGTTGTTTACAATTGTTTACAACAATTATGGTAACGCTTTTAGGGATCAAAAACGAGAATCAGTCTTTCTTGGTAATTTCCATCTGCATTTTCCTTTCATTTTCAGTAAAAATTCGAAGTTAACTGGAAACCAGTGTTGCAGCACTCGGTACTCGTACTCGAATGTCAAAGTACGTACTCGAAATGACGGTACTCGTACTCGGGCAGCAAAGTACTCGTACTCGACATGTCGAAATTGTACTCAATCATCAAAGTACTCGTACTCGAATAGCAGTACTCGAAAAAATGGCATAGCTTTACTTCCGACTGCCTTATTAAATTTATCGATAATTTCACTTTGAAATGGTTTATTGGCTCGCGAGCAATCGACGTTTCCTGAGCCGTGAGTGGGTCTGAATAATCGGTCTGACTGGGCCTGGGCCAATTACGCACAATGAAACATTTGCCATATGGTCATGTTCGGAAATAGAAGTACTGGTACTCGTACTCGGGAGTACAAATGTACTCGTACTCGGGAGTACAAGTACTCGTATACTCGTACTCGGAAGTACAAGTACTCGTACTCCGGAAGTACAAGTATTCGCACTGGGAGACCTGAACTTGTACTCGGAAGTACAATTACTTGTACTCGTATTCGGTAACCTAAGTACTCAGCAGTACTCGGTACTCGGAAAAAAAGTACTCGACTACAACACTGCTGGTACTGCTTTGCGAGTGCACAGACTAACCGCCAACGGCATGGGCAAACAATGACATCACTATTGAACCTGGCCCCAATGCCATTCCTGATTGGATAGTTTTCCTTTGTATATAAACCGTACAAACATGCCGGGGTCGACAGCTCAATTTCTGATTTTTACTTCCGCTTCAACTTGTAAAATTCCACGTCATTGCTAGGCCATGATCACAGTCTATTTTGGAAGAAGTATAGCCAGACGCTATTGGATTCAATATCGCACCGCAGTGTTCATAACAGTGCCCATTTGCATTTTGATGTGCAGCAAGCCCATCGAAGCCAACATGACTCGCTTGTCTCATGTGTTTGTTGCTGTCCTGTTTTACTGCGGTCAGTATGTTTAAAACATAACAAACAATCAGTGACTTTTCCTGCTCTCCTGCATATCCCTATATAAACACTGTACAAGTTGTCATTGTGCAGACTTGCTCACATATCCTTGCTGTAATTGATTGGTACAGTTGTAATTGATTTTGTAAGTGTTAAATTCCCCTTTAACAGAAACGTGTTTATTTACATTAATTTGGTTGTAAATGTTTGATTTTTAAAATTAACTCGGCAAGAGTTACATGTGAATATACATTTATTGACGTTAAAATGCACGAAAAAGTGATTATTTATCAACAGTTTGTTTCATGTGCTAAAACAAAATCATGTCTATGTTGACCATAGTGAAAACAGAAGCAGATTGCACAGTGTTTGTAAAAGCACATCATTGTATGCCTGTTTTAGTGTGTATTTCACAGATTTATTCACCTATTGACGAAAAACATTCAAATCACACTTACTTTAAGGCAACATAATGACCGTTGACACAAAACAGCAGAATAGTTTTGTTACAATGTAAATAACAAAATACCGGACACACGGTCCATTTCCTTTACTTTTGTTTTGCAGCATTTTATACTAGCTGTTATTGCTTGAACCGTCCCAAGAAAGTTGTGTGAACTTTTCAAACAATTTCTGGCACACTCACTGCAGCACTTCTTTGGAAGCTATAATGGTCTGATAAAATAGGTTTTCCCGCCCAATTTCCTGAAATGTTCATTCACTTCCGAAAATAGGTCATTCGTTTTCGTCTGAATTTGAATGCGCGTCTTTAATCCCATTTCAATGCAACGAAAGTTCAATCGTTTTCATTGTCCGTGCATTCGGTTTTGAGAAACAGACGGCCAATTACGCTACCTGTGCATTCATTTACGCAAGCAAAGTGAACTAGAGGTTCGCCTTTGTTGAGTTACAAAAGCAGAGTGGTCGGGTAGGCAATTATTCCATTAAACACTGCCGAGATAAGTTATGAATATATTTATGTACGAACAAAAGATCACGAAATTAAATCCTTTCCATTACAATCAATTAAATGTATCTTTAAAGATGGGATAAATTTCAGTAAACATTCCATGTACACATACAAGTTATTTCTTGCTTGATGACGTCATTATTCAAAAACGGGAAGTGATACTGATTTGTGGATAAATATTCATTGTGAAGTTAAATAACGCATGAAAAAAGTGGAAAATATAAGTGTATGTATTCATAACACCTAACTTCCGGTTTGATGACATCACAGTATTTGGAAGCAAAAGGTGAACATTGTAATGGATATCGTTATTTGGGCTACGAAGATATACAACATGGATCAAATGATAGAATTTAATTCAAAATATGATCATTTTCAAATTCTCATAGAAGTAACTTCCGGCCTGATTACGTCATGAATTTGAAACCTTGCCAAGTTATCTGTGGTCAATCAGAGAATATCAAGGGGCGACTTGGTAAAATTTGAACGGATGGTTTTAAAATTAAAGAAAGCAAACAATATTGTATGTGCCGCTTGGGGCGCCCTTTTGAATGATGACGTCATCACACTGTTTTTTGTGACAGGCATTTCTCACTTAATACTTTCATAATTTATATGTGTGCAGTAAAATGCTTCCGCTTTTGAGTTATATTGTAATCGAATGCTATAGTAGCGAATATGAAACGCGTGTTCAGAGCGATTCTCAAATTCAGACGAAAATGAATGACCGATTTTCAGAAGTGAATGAACATTGTAAGAAATTGGCCGGTAAAACCTATATTAGCCTATTAACAATGCATATATATGTTTTTAAAACAATTTTACGTAAATAATTTATGTGAGTATTCCATGATAATTTATTATCAAAATGTAATCCAAGGAATTAAGTGGAATCTGTTGCCAAACTTTATTATGATCAAAGAGTTCAGAGAATAACTAAACATAAATGAGAAAGACGAATGAGAAAGACGAATGGTCCAAGAATGGATCCTTGGGGACCACACATGTTAATGATTGTATAAAGGCTCTAGAAAAATCAAGAAAAAAATCCAATTGTATGTTCAAAACGATCAAAACCAGGTGGAGTATACAGCAGGCGCAGTAAAGTGTTTTGCACGAAAGCCGAACCGAGCATTTAACAAGATTTGCGCAAGAAACTAAAAGTCCGAGCATGAACAATTCTTTCCAAATTTATTTTAGAAACAAGGTACTATTGAAGTTGGTCTATAATTGTTTACCTTGTCAGTTTATGAGCTCTAATGAATTGGAATGACTTTTGCTATCTTTAAGTTGTCTGGTACAACACCTGTTGACAAAATATGTCGATAACATATCGATAACATATGAAAGAGGTTCTAAGATATTAGGGAGCGTCTTGTTTCTGTACAAAAGCAGTAATATCGTCGAAGCCACTGATTGTTTTATTTGGTAACTTCTTGACAACATTATGGACTTCGTTTGAAGTGGCTTGCTCAGGGTATATAAAAAAAACGAAACCGAGATATTATTGGTAATAGGAACAGGAGTAGGGCATTGTGAATCAAAGGGAGATATTCTCTGTTAGGGTGGAATCTTCTCACCTTGACACCCTGATCATGTCATTACATTCAGGGTTTACTGAGCAGTGACCAATTTTATGGAAGGGTCTATTTAGAGAATTGCGCCACTTTTCATGGTGTAATCTCTTTTTTCCCCACCTGCCTTGATTGGCAACAATAGCCTCTCACTCTGTTACAAATGACACCACAAAAAACCCACAATTGATCAGCAGAGCCAGTATTCGACTTCAGCCTGCGACGACACCCTCGCCTCCTGTGTTGACACCGGTCAGATCCGTCGAGAGGACGACGGATGTTGGTGTCAGGGTGAAGGAGGCAAGGCTGGAGGAAGTGGATGAGATAGAGGATAACCAACGGGGAATGGTGACGGCTCAGGAACCTTTCCTGCATGCAGAAGGGAACAGTTGGGGAGTTGGCGGCACCTAGAGTCGGCACAGCAGAGTCTTCTCATCAGACAAAGTTCATGACAACACCAATGACATGGGAACCGGATCGGTAGAGCAACCTGTCTATCGGAGTTTAACAGATTTGGGCGATGTAGAACCAGCGAAGGTTCAGCGGCAGAGACCTACAGGAACAAGCGATGTTCTGGCGGAGTCTGGATGGCCTTCTGCCCGGCCAGGAATGCAAACTCCAGAGGAAATGCCGGGTAACTTCAAACCCCAGTCTGGGCGTATGATGTCAGGTGTAATCTGCAGCCGCAGATGGAGAGGCGCCTGGACATCAGACGTGTACAGCATCACTGCGGGTGGTGGAAGAAGTCAGGAGCACAGGGCAGCACCTGCAGAAACCAGTGGATCTGGGAGAAAAAGAATCAGTAGACAAGAAAACTCTGGCTAATTCACAAGGGCACGATCCACCCAAGAGTGCAGCGACTGGGGCGGAAGGAGCCAGCAGAATTCGTCGAAAACCAAGCCTCGTTCCTGATCGATTCGCCGGAGATGTACTATGGCGAGACTACAAGTCTCATTTTGAGTCCAGTTCAGTTATCAATGGCTGGACGGCAGAGGACAAAGAGCTTACTTCCTTGCAGCTAGTCTCAAGGGTCTAGCACAGCAAGTGCTGGGAGACAGGTGTACGGGAGAAGTGCTGACCTATGCGGAGCCCACAGCAAGTTATGGGCCTGGCGAGCAAGCCGAAACGTACCTAGCCGACCTGAGGAGCAGAACAAGGACAGAGAATGAAAGTCTGCAAGCGCTTGGGCAGGAAATACGTCGACTCATAGGGCTGGCGTATCCTGAACTGCCCAGAGATAGCAGAGAGCGTCTGGCACGTGGCTATCTGGTGGATGCCATACTTGATGCAGATTTTAAAGCGGGGATCTTCAGAAATCATCCAACGACGCTAAATGAGGCAATTAGAGCGGCGCTGGAGACCGAGTCTTTCTTGAAAGGCAAAGGCAGCGAAAAAACCAGGGTGGTCTGCCAGACAGAAATAACGGAGTAATGATACAAGTGGAGATAGTCTCAAGAGACGAGTTTGATCAGCATACATGGGCAGTGTCCGAGCAACTGATCTTGGTGAGTGGAAGCCACAACAGCCAACTTGCTTCAAGTGTGGAAAGACGGGACACTTCAGACGACAGTGCCCCGAATCCATGAGCAATATGTCGTCAGGAAATGA